TGGCCGTGGTCGGGTGCGTGGGGGCGGTATCGTACTCCACACGTGTGCGCCCAAAGGCGAAATCGCACCAGCATGCGTACCTATGCATGTGTGTGGGCAATAAACGGGAGCACACGGGCAGAGCGCGTATGCCGCACGCCCTTGCCGGGCACGCGTGCACATCATGTTCACCGAAGACTCATGCCGAGCAAACGCAGTGAGCAACCGCGCCGCGCACCACAGCACCAGAAAAGGGGGTTAGAGGAGCTAATTCGGGCCAAGGGGAAAGCCCGAACAGCCCCGCGAGGCAGTAAGGCCCCGTTAGGGGGGGTGCCTTCGGGCCAAGCCCGTACACCCCTCTTTGATCTGGCGCCCTGGTGGCGCACCGCAGCACCAAATAGGAGGTGACGGGAAACGGGAGCTTATTCGGGCCAAGGGCAAAGCCCGAACAGCCCCGTGGGGCGGTAAAGCCACGTTTGGGGGGTCCTTCCGGCCAAACCCGAACAACCCCCCTTTGCTTTGGCGCCCCAGTGGCGCACCACAGCACCAGAAAAGGATGTCAGGGGAGCTTATTCGGGCCAAGGGGAAAGCCCGAGCAGCCCCGTGGGGCGGTAATGCTCCATTTGGGGGGTGCCTTCGGGCCAAGCCCGAGCAACGTTCCCTTGCTTTGGCGCCCCGGTGGCGCACCACAGCACCAGAAAGGAGGTTAGGCGAGCTCGAACAGGCCCGCGGGGCGATAAGGCCCCGCTTGGGGGGTCCTTCAGGCCAAACCCGAACACCCCCCCCTGGCGCCCTGGTGGCGCACCACAAGACCAGGACCGTTCTGAGATCCTTGGCGCGGAGGAAGGCCCATCTTGGGGGGTTCCTCCGGGCCGAGCCCAAACAACCCCCCTGGCTTGGGATGCCCCGTTCGAGCTCCCAGCAACAGTCGGGGGGTAACGCGATCCCCGTGTAGGTGGGGGGCTCCTTCAGGCCAAGGGAACACCCGAACAGCCCCCCTGGCCTGTGTCGCCCTGGTGGCGGACCCCCAGCGAACTCGAGGGAGATGCTCATCGGAGAGTGCGTATCTCTGTACAGGCCGCCCCGTGCGTCCTCCCCGATTACTCAATACTGGGGCCGTGCTCACCTTTGGCACGGGGAGGAGGAGGAGGAGGAGGAGGAGGAGGAGGAGGAGGAGGAGGAGGAGGAGGAAGAGGAGTAAGAGGAGGAGGAGGAGGGAGACGAGGAGACGAGGAGACGAGGAGGAGGTGGAGGACGAGGAGGAGGAGGAGGAGGACGAGGAGGAGGAGGAGGAGGAGGAGGCATCTTGGGGGCTTCTGGGGGTGCTCTTGGGGCCTCGCTCGGCATCCCAGGGGCTTTGTAGGAGCGTGTCGGAGTCTTCAGGACTCCTCGCGAAGCCTGCATGGCACCTCGTGTATCCGTTAGGAACTTTCAGGAATCCCCTTGGATTTCCAGAGATGCCGAGGAACCTGCAGGAATTTGTCAGAAAGGACTAAGAGTTCTTTTTGAAATCCGTCAGGGGTCCATCAGGGATCCATCAGGAATCCTTCCGGGCCCCCAGATTTTCAGGGATCCGTCAGGGGTCGCCAGGATTTCGTGCGAAACCAGAGGGAGACTGAGGAATCCTCCGGGATTTTGAGGAATTCCCAGCCATTCTGAACACATCGTTCCTAGGAGCCCCCAGTTATCCTTTCTGGAATCCTCGCGAATCCTTGGGGCTTCCCAGGGCCCCCCGGGGTTCCTCGGGTGTCCTGCAGGAAACCTTGCGGAATTCTTCAGGAAGCCTGGGCGGCGCCCAGGCTTCGCCATGTTGCGTGGGAAGTAGGGCAACGCTACAGGGAAAATGACGGATGCGAGGGATGCGAGGTGGACGAGGGCCAGGCCGTAATTTGGTTTTGAGCAAGACCTGGGGCGGCGTGGAAGGGGGGCGAGGATGAGGTGGGGGCGGGCGTTGATCTGTCAATCTGAATTCGGTGGTTTTGGTTTGAGAGTCGCGCAGACGTTTGTCTAAGATTGGCCAGGGGTGCTCGGAGAACATTTGGAAGAGGTAGACAACAACGGCGCCGATTCTGACTTCTCCGCCGCCTCGCCTTCGTGGTGCCCGTTCCCGGGGGCCCCTCGACGCCGATTTGGCGACAGTCTCGCGCCTGCTGTTGCTGCCCGCAGAAGAGAGCAGCGACGCCGAACGTGAGTTTGTCGCCAAGTCGGCCAACTTTCCCACCGCAGTGCAAGCGTGGGCCCGTGTGGCGCCCGCGGGGGGCCCTGGGGAATAGGCGCCGCAAGGGCAAGGTTGCGGGGGGGGTCGGAATCGGCATATTTTGTGTTTGCACTTTTTTTTGTCCGAACCTCCCTGGCGAACTTCAGGCGACCTTTTTATTTTTCTGAATTTGGATAGAACCATCCGTTTCAACCCTTGGCCGCAGTATCCACGCCACATATCAGGCAGAGCACTTGGGGACACGCCCCCTCCGTGCCCCGTGGCCTGGTGGCGGATTTGTGGGTTTGCTGATCCCAATATTCAAGCGCCTCCTATCTCAAGTTACTTCAAGATCTACATGTTGTCTTGCTGTTTCCGTTATGCTCTTGTCTAGGCCTCACAGATGGGGTCGGAGTAGATGGGGTCGGAGGATCGCGCCGCATCGCCGATGCATCGCCGACGCGGCTCGATGTGGGGTCCGATTTGCTTCACGCCGACATCGCCGATGCATCGCCGACGTCGGCGATGCATCACCGCTGCATCGCCGATGCATCGCCGATGTATCGGCGATGCGGCGCGATCCTTCGACCCCATCTTTTCAAACCCTAGATAGGATGCCTCTATCCTGGTGGACACGAGCCCAAGTCTACCGTATCCGCTTTCCTACTTCGTGTTTCTACTTTCTCTTCCGACGGACGGGTTTGGGGAGGGATGGGCTCAAAACGTTTGTTTTCTCTCGGGTGTTTTTTTCTCCAGAATGGCCGAAACCTTTCCGAAACCTTCTGAAACAAGAACCTCCCCGATGGGGTCCGGGGGGTGGGCCGGGGGAAAGCCAGTCCCGAGCGAACTGTGGACCTTCTCAGGGTCGGCTCAGGGGGGGACGCGCCGAGCCCGACTCGCCCAGGCATCGCCGATAGGGTCCCGATACCCCACCCCTACAGACGACCTGCACACAGTAAGGATGCAGGAGTTTCCAAGGTTACCCTTGCATTGTCTCGAAGCTGGAAACAAACCACATAAACGTACACATTTGGCGCTCCGTGCGGATTTCTTGGATGTGTCTTTGTGATGCGGGTTGACCGTAAGGGCACGATATCCCTCGTACGACTTCGCTGTAGGACCTTTCCGAGTCAGCCCCCCGAGTCGTTACGCCTTGCTCCCTGGGAGACCCCCCTGGCCGATTGCTCGAGTAAGCCCGCGGTCCGGGGGATGCGCCACGCGTGGTGCGTTTCCTTGGCGGAAAAGCACGTGGACGCGCTTCGCGTAGGTCGGCGGCGAGCGAGGTGAGAAGGAACATGCTTTTTCAGAAGAAGGCGGCGGGGCTTCTCAGAAACCCTCGCGCCCTTGAGAAGTTTTATGTGTCTGCGGGGAAGGCTAAGGCAACTTCTCAGAGGATTTGGGGACTTCCAAGCATTCTGAGAAGGCCTTCTCCTTCTCAGTTCCCCCCTGGGCTCGCCGGCGAGTGGGGGATCGACTACAGTATCGATTCGCCCCAATGTTCTTAGATCTACGATTGCTCTGCACATTTCCCATCGATCCGACGAGAAAACGAATTCTGGGGTAGTCCAATTCAGGAGGACGGCGACGGCGATTGCGGCGACGACGACGACGACGTCGACGGCGATGGCGACGGCGACGACGACGGCGGCGACGGGATGGCTGTGCGCTCCACTGGCGGCCACGAATCCCCTGTTCGATGGCTTGCAGGCCTCCGCCGGTCTGCCAGCCGGCCCTCCCGCTCGGGACCCAGCTCCGCACCGCACAAGTGGGACCCGCACCGAATCAAGACGAGATGGATGCTGCTTGTTTCGACGCACCTGTCAGCCCACAGACTCTCTGCCAAAAAGACACTGGGGGTCAGCGCTGGTCACCGCTCATGGGCTGATCCAAAACGTTGCGAGCCAAAACGCTACGGGCAGGATGGTCACTCGGGACCCGGCTCCGCACCTGCCTGCCTCTGTCGCTCGCGGCGAACTGCACGCTCGCTCGGTGCCACCTGCCGCTGCGGCCCACCCTTGGCAGCCTCGTCGCTTCGCGCCTCCCCGCTGTGGGCTGGGCCCCCCGACTCGTGTCGGAGCAGGCGGGGTCGGGGGATCGCGCAGCATCGCCGCTGTATCGCCATGCGGCTCGATGCGGAGCCAATTTTTCTCCATGCCGACGTCGCCGATGCGTCGCCGACGCATCGCCGTTACATCGGCGATGTGGTGCAATCCTCCGAGCCCATGTAGGCCCCGTCGGCGGCGAGCGAGGGGGGGAAGCGGGAAGGAGAATGCCTTCTCAGAAGGCGGCGGGGCTTCTCAGAAGCCTTCGCGCCTTCTGAGACGTTTTTGCGTGTCTTCGGGTCAAGGCTCATAACGCTTGTCAGAGGGCTGGGGGACTTACGAGCCTTCTGAGCCTCCTCCCTCCTCCTCCTCCTCCCTCCTCCTCCTCCTCCTCCTCCTCCGTTGCCATTTTGGCTCAAGGCTCTCTCGTCCTGGTGCCCATGCCGCCCAGGATTGCGCCAAGAGTGGGCAACCTCTCGCGAGGATTTCTGGCACGTCGGATGCCAGCGGACATTCTCCAACCACGTTTCTCTTTTCACAGCCGCCATGGCGGCTCGTGGCCGTGCTTACGCTCCTGCCAGTGACGAGGAGCCTGAGGACTCAACCGCCAAGAGTCGAAGTGGCGACCGAGGGGCTCGACGTCATCAACCCTCTGTTGGGCGAGACTGCATGCAGGAGAACGACCCGTGGAAGCAGCAAAGGACTGCGACTGACGGACCTTCTGGCGGCAGCACTTCGGCGACCGGTGCCAGCAGCAGCGGCTCCTCCAGCGGCGCCGCCGGCTCCATCATCAACAGGCACGTGGACCAATTCCGCGGCCACATGGCAAAGTACATGGAAACCACGTTCAACGACACCATGCAGTCGGTTCGAGAGGAGCCAGGCGCAATGGTGCGGACACAACTTTAGCCACATGCGGACAGACTCAACAGACAACAGGCCCAGCTCAAAGTGGTGCGCGACAAGAACGAGGAACTCGGCAAGGAACAGGAGGCGCTCAAGGCCTCGGTCAAGCAACTCCAGGAGACACTTGCCATCGCAGAGCAGCAGATCGCGTCACCCATCGACACGGGCAGGCTCATGGAATGGAACAGAAGCGCAGACCCATCGGTGTCCATAATGTCCAGTGACTCGGTGGCGGCGCCGAATGAGACTTTCAATGCCTTGAACGAGTGGTTGCAGACGGCCAATGTTTCCAGGGACCAAGTACGACTGGTGGGGGACACCCCGCAGAAGAAATTTAACTTGCAGTGCATCGGTGGTGCGGCGGGTGTTTCCAGAGCCAACGCGCTGCAGATTGCGCTCAAGTATGCCAACAACCAGGGCTGGCGTTCGTTTGAGGTGCTGGCGATCAACGGGAGTCGCGTGCCACTGTTCGTCAAGCCCGACAAGAACGCGAAAGATATTCGGAGAGAGGTGCAGACGAAGAAGCTATTGTAGTGGCCTTCGGCCAGTGCCGCCGATTCGGGGCGCTCCGACTGATGTGATCCATCTTCGCCCTCGTCCCTCCTCCTTTTTTCCCTCCCCTCCTCTCACTCAGCATTTATCGAAGACGCCTACGGCGAATCACCGCCGCCCCCTGCCTTTTTGGAAGCGCCTATGTGGCCGAACGTTGAGGCCAGACCTGCCAAGCTATCGGACCACGTGTTCCCCGAATCGGTTTGGAAAGCCTTCGGGGAACACGTGGGCATCTTGAAGGTCATCTTGGCCGTCTTGGAGGCCTCTTGGGCAAGCTTTGGGCGATCTTTGGGGCTTTTTGGGCCGTCTCGGGCCAGCTTCGAGCCAACTTCGGCCATCTTGGTGGGTTCCTGGCACGTCTGAAGCCGTCGGAAGCCGTTTGGGGGGCCTCTATGGGCCGACTTGGGGCCCGCTTGGAATGCTCCAGGGCCGTCTTGGAGGCCATCTTGGGCGTCTTGGAGGCCATCTTGGGCGTGTTGGAGGCCTCTTGGGCCCTCTTGGGGCCCTCTAGGGGCCATCTTGGAGGCCACTTGGGCCATCATGGGGCTCTCTTGGGGGCCTCTTGGGCGATCTTGGGGGCTTCTTGGGCCGTCTTGAGCCGTCGGAGAGCCGAAAAGGCGCAAATGCCAAAATCCTTCAAAAACCAACGGAAAATCAATGATTTTGGCCTCTTCGGACTCTCCTGGAGGACCTCTTGGAGGCCTCTTGGGCCGTCTGGGAGGCCTCTGGGGGGCCTCTTGGGCCGTCTTGGGCCGTCTTGGACTCTCTTGGGCCGTTTTGGAGGCCGTCTTGGACCATCTCGGGCGGACTTGGAGGCCATCTTGGGCCATCTTCGCGATTTTTTGAGGATGTCCCGAGCGAAACGGCCGTTTTTGGGCATTGACAGACGGATTTTCGGAAATTTGCGGGTGGCCGGCGGGACGGGCCGAAGCCCACTGGGGAGTCCGCCGCCCCCTGTGGTCTTGCCACAGGGGTGCACGGCGTGCTGGATGTTTCAGGTTTTGGTTTTGGTTCTTTTTCTAAAAGAACTCCCCAGTGGGCTTCGGCCCGTCCCGCCGGCCACCCGCAAGTTTCCGAAAATCCATCTGTCAATGCCTTTGTTGCCCCAACTTGGCCCAAGATGGCCTCCAAGACGGCCAAGATGGCCCAAGATGGCCTCCAAGATGCTTCCAAGACGGCCAAGATGGCCTCCAAGACGGGTAAGATGGCTCCAAGATGCACCCAAGACGGCCCAAGATGGCCTCAAGATGGTCTAAGACGGCCCAAAAGGCCCGCAAAAGGCCTCCAAGACGGCCCAAGAGCCCTCCAAGACGCCCTCCAGGAAGGCCCGAATAGGTTAAAATCATTGATTTTCCTAGGTTTTTCAAGGATTTTGGCATGTTCTTCTTTTCAGCTCTCCGACGGCCCAAGACGGCCCAAGAGGTCCCCAACATCGCCCCAACAGCACCCAAGAGGCCTCCAAGATGGCCCCATGACGGCCCAAGAGGCCCCCAAGAAGGCCCCAAGAGGGCCTCAAGACGGCCCAAGAGGCCTCCAAGACGCCCAAGATGGCCTCCAAGACGGCCAAAATGGCCCAAGATGGCCTCCAAGATGCCTCCAAGACGGCCAAGATGGCCTCCAAGACGGGTAAGATGGCTCCAAGATGCACCCAAGACGGTCCAAGATGGCCTCAAGATGGTCTAAGACGGCCCAAAAGGCCCGCAAAAGGCCTCCAACACGGCCCAAGAGCCCTCCAAGACGCCCTCCAGGAAGGCCCGAATAGGTTAAAATCATTGATTTTCCTAAGGTTTTTGAAGGGTTTTGGCATGTTCTTCTTTTCAGCTCTCCGACGGCCCCAGACGGTCCATGAGGTCCCCAACATCGCCCCAACAGCACCCAAGAAGCCTCCAAGATGGCCACATGACGGCCCAAGAGGCCCCCAAGAAGGCCCCAAGAGGGCCTCAAGACGGCCCAAGAGGCCTCCAAGACGCCCAAGATGGCCTCCAAGACACGCCCACGTCTTCTCCGAAGGCTTTCCAAACCGATTCGGGGAACACATGGTCCGATAGCTTGGCAGGTCTGACCTCAACGTTCGGCCACATAGGCGCTTCCAAAAAGGCAGGGGGCGGCGGTGATTCGCCGTAGGCGTCTTCGATTCTTTAAAACCAAAGCCTGACTCGTCCAGCACGCCGTGCACCCCTGCAAGCAGGGGGCGGCGGATCGAAGACGCCTACGGCGAATCACCGCCGCCCCCTGCCTTTTTGGAAGCGCCTATGTGGCCGAACGTTGAGGCCAGACCTGCCAAGCTATCGGACCACGTGTTCCCCGAATCGGTTTGGAAAGCCTTCGGGGAACACGTGGGCATCTTGAAGGTCATCTTGGCCGTCTTGGAGGCCTCTTGGGCAAGCTTTGGGCGATCTTTGGGGCTTTTTGGGCCGTCTCGGGCCAGCTTCGAGCCAACTTCGGCCATCTTGGTGGGTTCCTGGCACGTCTGAAGCCGTCGGAAGCCGTTTGGGGGGCCTCTATGGGCCGACTTGGGGCCCGCTTGGAATGCTCCAGGGCCGTCTTGGAGGCCATCTTGGGCGTCTGGGAGGCCATCTTGGGCGTGTTGGAGGCCTCTTGGGCCCTCTTGGGGCCCTCTAGGGGCCATCTTGGAGGCCACTTGGGCCATCATGGGGCTCTCTTGGGGGCCTCTTGGGCGATCTTGGGGGCTTCTTGGGCCGTCTTGAGCCGTCGGAGAGCCGAAAAGGCGCAAATGCCAAAATCCTTCAAAAACCAATGGAAAATCAATGATTTTGGCCTCTTCGGACTCTCCTGGAGGACCTCTTGGAGGCCTCTTGGGCCGTCTGGGAGGCCTCTGGGGGGCCTCTTGGGCCGTCTTGGGCCGTCTTGGACTCTCTTGGGCCGTTTTGGAGGCCGTCTTGGACCATCTCGGGCGGACTTGGAGGCCATCTTGGGCCATCTTCGCGATTTTTTGAGGATGTCCCGAGCGAAACGGCCGTTTTTGGGCATTGAGAGATGGGTTTTGGGCAATTTGCGGGTGGCCGGCGGGACGGGCCGAAGCCCACTGGGGAGTTCTTTTAGAAAAAGAACCAAAACCAAAACCTGAAACGTCCAGCACGCCGTGCACCCCTGCAAGCAGGGGGCGGCGGATCCAGTGGCCGTCGGCCTATCCCGCCACCGTGCGTGGGTGGTGGGTCAGAGGCCTCATGGATGCTGGTTGGGATCTCGTGGTTGGCTGGGACTTCTGGGGGCCTCTTGGGCGCTTCTTGGGGCTTCTTGGGGGCCTCTTGGGCTTTTGGGGCCACTAGAGGGCCTCTTGGGGGTCTCTTGGGAGCCTCTTGGGGTTTTTTGGGGGCCTCTTCTGCGCCCCTTGGGGCCTCTTGGAGGCCTCTTCGGAGCTTCTTGATGCGGGAGGGGTGGTACTCGAGTTCGGAAACCCCTCGGAGGCCACGATCCTTGTGAGGGGTGTCAAAAAACGCATCCGCCGGAAACTCGCACCCCCCCCCCACCCCCCCTTCCCCGGCAGAGCCACCCCGGCAACCCCCCCAGAGGCTGAGGCTCAGCCTCGAGGCTGTAGCTGAGACTCCTCGAAACTCACACGCCGGATCGGCGGATTGGGTTTGGTGCGGGCAGCTGCGACGGCTTCACCAGTGGCTAGCACACGTACTTCGGAGTGCTGGGCCAGGCGACCAAAAGGGCTGGTCTACATTGGCCAGACAGCGGTCGTTGCGGTGCAAGTTCAGTGCCCTGATGAACCCACGAAGCTGGCACGGGAGACGCAAGCGGCAGTCCGTCTCGGCATCGACTGGCCGGCTGTGGGCAACGAGTTCAAGAATTTATGGAAAGAGATTGACGCATCGAATTGGACGTGCTCCTAGCCAGAGATTAGCGCCCTGGGAGCTGCAAGCGTCCTCGCAGCACGTGAGTATCGTATGCTGGAATGCACGTGGTCTTCTCTTGAGGCGTGATCCGACACGGCGAAGAAGGAAGGTGGCGCTCGTAGTGGACCTGCTACGCGAACGCAGCGTTGCATTATCCAGGAGGCCATGGGTTCGAGATCGCCCTGACCAACTACCTCAGCCAGTACAATGTGAATTACCAGATCCACTTCTTGGGCGCGGACCGCCCGAGCGCGGGTAGAATGGCCATCCTGATTCTTTGGTATGATGTGCACACTATTGCAGCTGCGGGGTCTTCTGGCCCCCCCCCCCGCCTTCGACGCCGCGTCCTGCGTGCAGGCGTAGCCGTCCTGGCCAGCATTGAGAACCCTACGACAAAGGGCGAATCTCGGATCATGAACATTCATAACTGTGACATACCTGAGGAAGGACGAGGAAATACCAAACGTATATGGAAGGAGTGCGTCGCCCGGTCGAAGCGGGGCCCGATGGCGCGCACGTTCATTGTTGGTGGAGACTTCAACATGTCAGAGATACCGACGGAGTCCGTGCTGCACCCGCAGCCTCGCCAGGCGAGGGGGTCTGATGCTGGGCGGGCTAACCAGTCGGAGCCCTTCGGGCGCGAGCTCTTCAACGGCGCGGCGATGCTGGAAACCTGTTCCTATTCCGGCACATTACAAGGCTGTTAGTAATACCCTGCGGACCATTGACCGCATCATTGCCCCGATGGAGTCGGGATTCGCTGCGGAGACAGAGATGGATGTGGAGGTGATCCAGGATGCGTTCACCCTGAGCACCAAACAGTTGAGTGACCACGCTATCATCAAGCTACGCGTGGCTACGAGGCGTCAGACAGCATCGACGCACCAACGTATCCTTGCGTTCATTTTCAAGAGTGAGGAGTGCCGAGCAGCCCTTGAGAGGTGCATCGATGGCTGCAACTGCGAGATGATGGAACCATTCCGCCAGTGGGAGATCATCGAGAAGCTCATGGTAGCGGCTGCGGAGACTGCTCGGAATGAGTTACTGGCCAAGGAGGTGACTGGAGAGGGTGACATCTCCAGGCGGGCGCCCCTGCTGGCCTATGGGGCCGTTGCTCGCGCAGTCTGCCGCCAAGACGTTCGCCTGGCCAAGAAGCCGATCAACCGCGCGATTGTCGGC